AATGGAAGGAGCGGCTAACGTCTTGAACTCCCCTCGAGTCGATCTCCCGCGCGACCGCCAGTTCCCGTTCAAACCGACGCCCCAGCAATAAAACCGAAGCGGAACTTCGACGAGTCCGCGAGCCAGGCCCGTGTCCAAGTCTACATCCCGCCGAACGCCTCCACGCCCAGAGACACGCTCCGAGACGCCGAGACGCCGATTCCATCCCCGAGGCACCGACGAACAGTCGCGAAAGCAGGAATGGTCCGCGGCGGACGATCCCACGGACGCTGAGAAGCATCCAAACGTTCCTATGGGCGTACGAGAACATCTTAATAGACTTAAAGAACGACCAGGGGCCGACCTCGTCCCGTTGACGACTCTCCGCGTCAGCGTTCAGGGGTTGTAAAAAGAATCGGTCGTATTCATCAATCAATAATGTCCTCTTTTTCTTCTCCAGGTTCGGTTTCAAGCTCATTAAAAATCAATCTTTAATTCCATCAACCGTAACATTCCAGAATACCTACCAGGAGACAGGATTCGCATTCCATATCGAAAGCAAAAAGGATTCCTTTAATTTATCTGAGACAACTTGTCTCGTAGCTCGATTGATAGAAATATGTGTACACAAAATCCAATGTATAGCTTCAGGATATTTATTCATTAAAAATCTTCCATCAGTACATCGATTCTTGTCATTACCCCTATCCTTAACACATCCTCAACGTTCCTTAATTCTAAACGTTAACATGTTCCTATAATCGAAACATCACATTACCTCCTTCCTTCTTCCTTACATATAGCATGAATCTTTACTTGACAAAAGAAAAAATTAGATTAGTCAATGTCGATGTTCCTCAGAGATATCTATTAATAAACATTACTCAAAATATTATAACTCTTAAAGTCACTCTCTCATAGAGTAGGGAAGCATATAACAACAAATCTTCTTTGACAGATTATAAAGGAATTAAATTGAACAATTCTCAAATTTTTGATATCAGAACGACAAGAAAATTTTACTCTACCATCTGAACACCATACAAGCTGTTCCAGTATATTTAAAATCATCCTTAACTCCTGAATAAAAGAACCAGATATAACTTAACTTTCCATTCAGCATCTATAGATACATCAGAATTGACCATCTAAAAGAACTGAAGCTACATCAATATTTTCTATGTAGAAATGACAGGCTAATTATCACTGACAGGATAACACCATAATCTTAACAATATTCAAAGATAATTCTATCCTCTTATATAGTATCGACTTCACTGGGTGGGGTGTCAAAATGATTAAGCGATGTCAATATTCCTTAAATGATTATCAATGCTAATTTTATTGATATTAGAAATCGTACAATTTCTACCAGGCTTGAGAATAATTTCTACCTTCTTCTTTTTTTAAAATTTAGATCTTTCTTATTGTCCTTGGAGAGTCATCATTACGCATTCAGATCTTCCTCTTTTCATGAATTAACGTTGAGAATCTAAAATTACATTAATTTAACAATGAATCCATGATACAAATAAATTAATTCAGAAATTACAATTTAATACTGACCGATATATAAAACACCGATCCATCTAAGACACCTTCTTTATCATTCACTTTGAGTCATTATTCATTTGCAGGACTGACACTTGATTTTATGAATTAGAAATATATGACCTTCCGGAGCGTTCGTCATGGCTAAATTCAGGATTAGCATAAATCGACTTCAATCTAGACAATCTTCTCCGCTCTCCCAATTGATCAGATTTATACCATCTACCAGAGCGTCATAATACAACGAACAATTATCGAACGACACTTTCCATGACCTATATAACGAAAGTAATACAAGAACAGAGATTAATAATTACTCCAAACATTAATTCAGATAAATGCCTAATTTATTATTTACCTTTGTCTGATACATTTACTCCACCATCAGCCCAATTGGATGTATGTCTCAAGTCAACGTCAAGATCAACTAATTCATCAACATCATACTTCATAACATCAAGGCTACTAATTCACATTCTGATTTCTCTAGAGACCTGCTCGAAGAATAAAAGTAGATTTAAAATATATCATTACTTCGAATGCTCAGTAAACATTACAACCTTTAAAACTATTTAAATACATACCCTGATATGTTTCAATAACACCCATCTCGGCCACTGTTAGGGATGGTTGCCCTAACTGGGAGCCGGACTTGGAGAATCGGGAATTTTTAAATAATAACTCGAAAAGTTTCCCTCAGAAACCCACAACCGTTTATTAAACAAAATGAGTTAGACGAGACTGAAATTAAAATGGAAAAATCCAGACGGGACTGCCCGTCTAGCCCTGACGTCCTCGGTGGCGGTCACCGGTGTTAGTATGGGGAGAATTTCTGGAAACAACTCGGAAAAATACAGATTATACGGTGCACGAATACTCGTGCAATTAATTGGCAGAAGACGTGTGCGACCGACTCGTCTTCGCCTCGCGTGGACTGTATAATTTTGTTGACACGAGAAGAGAACAACTCGTTCCCTCGTGCCAAACCTTGTATCAAATGAGGCCTTGGATAATCCGGAATGTTGTAAATCTCCGGATTTTCGGTTGGCCGTTTCACTCGTGCACTGCGGTATGACCACGCAGAGAGCCCTGTGACGAACACGTCGGACCACTTTGGTGCTTAACAATTTCCTTGAGCGAAAATCTCGGTGGGCCTACAACTGCGACCGGGGTCCCGGGCCGATACCGGTATGCCGAGACGTAGGAGGATGCACCGGATAGCACCAACTAACACCGGTTACAGCATATTGCTGCAGATCGGGTATGATGGTCACGACGCCGTGACAAATGCGACTTTTACCACCGCAATGGCAAAGGGCTTCCGGCTTCCCGGTAAAAGCCGCACTGCTCTAACAAGCGAAACTCGCGTCCGAGCGATGACTGAAGGATCACCTTCGAAATCACCCTGATACGGTCAAGGTGCGTGAGATTCCTCTCAATGCAGTAGATCTGTACCGATCTACTGCAGTTCCGAAATAATAATAGAGTATTGCAGCAAACAGCTGATTTTAATCCGGAACGCAGACGGATTCCTCAACGTCTGGTCGGTTTTAATCCGCTTAACGAATTCTGAGAACCTTCTCAGAATTCGGCTGGAATACCTGTGTCTCGGTAGACGCACCGATTCGGAGTGACAATAGGTCGCGGTACGCGTATGATTGCCGATACACGGCTCTCTCTCTTTTCCTATACGCAACTCGCTCGCTCTCGTACTCAGGGCGTATACACGCCCGTATGAGTCACCGCTCGGGAAATATAAGAAATGGATCAACATTTCTTAATCCCTGAACTATAATAATATCTATTTAACGGAACTTTCTGTTTAAAATTTTCGCGTACACGTAATTCTTCAATTTATCAAGGAATTAGCTGACCACTAATTCCTCCGAACTAATTTCCCGTCGTTATGCAATACGTGCGGAGGCGCATGTATCTCATGCTGACCACTCCGACTTATACGTATTTTTAACAGCCACTTCGATTTACATTCTTTGGAAGCTCGATCAATCCGACCTCCGATTGTGATCATACATATGGGTGATTTAATCCTCGTCGACTCAATAAATGGCCATCTCAATCCTCTCCGGCCTCACCGTGCGACTTTAACGTAGTCATCAAATCATCCATGCCTTCTGAAACAAAATTTTTCTCAGCCAGACACTTTAACTCTGTCATATATATCCTCACAACTTCAAACGTTCACAAACAATGACTTCCTTGTTGAAACCTTCGTCTGGTTCACAACTGATTCATTCGAGTTCTAAATTTCCCCAAAACCAACAATGCTAAGCGACAAAATGTACGGTCTCCATAGTGTCCTCGCGCTATCAAGTCACTTCTTGGCACTTCTCCGAGAATAAAATCAATCATCTGTCATTGATAACCAAGCCGTAACCATCATTTAACCTAACTTCCGCTTATCGAGACTTCAACCTAAGAGTCACAATGGTCAGGAGAGGGATTAAAATATTATTAATCAATATCACAGACAAATCACTATCCTCCTTGCAACCAATCGCCTGTTTCAGCATTTCCAATTACTGCGAATCACCACTTTTTGCTGTACATGTAACTAATCGCCACCATCTTACAACTCTTCCACACGATCAAATTGGTTCTCAAGAAACCGAAGGATGGCGCCACATCATCCAGTGCATGTATGGCGGGAACTCTTACAAAGTTGAAACAGAATATAACGCATTAGATCAAACAGTCCTTTACTGTTATCATTCTCCTTTCATGATCAATCAAAGCGCGACTGACCCTCGACACACCTCACCTATAAACATAGAACAACTTTAACCCGTTGCGTCGGTTTACCCTCCTAATTTGCTTGTACAATGCATATCCCAGGATGAATCTCTACTCCTACTTTATAACAAATCAATGAGTCGAAACGTTTCATCGACAGAAACAATCTCGTTCAATCTTTAATTGAATGCCACAAACCCCCAGAAACAGGCGTCTATGCAACCTCTTTGAGATTCACACCCAGGCTAAGGCGGAAGAACTACAGAAAAGCGCAACAATAGAAATAAAATAAAATAATGGAAATAAAGTCAGGGGTGTGACGAGTGTATTTAAACATTTAGCTCTCTAAAATATCCCCTACGAGACGTCTCATCAACAAGAAGAAGACGACATCAAACTCTCGACTTCGCGCAATCCTTATACATATATTTCCGTATCGTCCTGCAGTAGATTTAAGAATCAAAACAAAGGTACATGTTTAAAAAAGTAACAAGTTAATTTTCAAACCGTCTCTCTGATTTAATTTTAATATCGTCCGGAATAATAATATTCTCGGGACCGTATTGAGGTCTCGAGAAAGTCACCGCGATAATATAAAAACATCGATACACGAGCTGAGTTTCTTGCCGGCTCGGTCGTTTTAACGGTCGCGATGTTTAGATTCCGCGATCGGAAAAAGTTCGAATAGGGCAGAGCGCGACAGAGTACGACGACACGCGCGTGAAGTGTCACCTGAGCGCGAGCGAGACAGAGATACCTCGCGATTCCCACCTCGCGATGACCGAGGTAACGGCCGTTTTCGGCAAGACGATCATTCCGTTAGGAGATTTCCGTGATCGAGGAGTTCGTCACGAGGGTTTTCGTCTCGAGGTTTCCGCGGTTCTAAGTGTTCCGCGTATTGACTGTGTCCGCGACAGAGGATTGCACCTCAATCATTCCTGTTTCGGTTTTTATATCACTGAGTTCCGCGCATCGGTTCTTCCAGTGCAAAGAAGTGCGGCGCGATTAATTCCGGTTCCAGTTTCGGTGTCGGTTCAGTATCGGTCTCGCGTNGTGAGCCCATATTTATTTCTTTGTCTTTTCGCAGCGATCGTGATATTCGGCGCCCAGACCGAAGCAGCAGGCGCCGTCGATAGGCTGCAGGATAGACGGAGGACACGAGGACGGCCCGCCGGACGCGGAAAATTCCCGGCTATCCCGGTTCCTACCAGGTCCTCCAGGGAAGACAGATTATTTAAATAAACCAGGTTTCATTTTTTCGATAAATTGCTGATTCTAATTATTTGAACACCCGTTCTCCCGGCCGAACCCCGTTAGGGCCGCCTATCCCTAACAGTACATATCTTTGGAATAAAAGAAATAAAGAAAAACAAAACACAAATAAAGATAACGCAAAGAATAGATAAGATTCACAACTGTATAACCATTTCCGCACCCCCCATAATTTACTGTACTAAAGAAATATCAGATCTCAAAGATTAAGAGTCTTCGTGGATACTTCCAAATAATAAACCGAGTCTATGCTTCAAGTTTTAACAGTCTCAGACCATGTTTAAGACATAATCAGAACCCACAAGTCTCGCAACTCATCATCTCGTGCTAATCTGTAAAGATTCGCTTTCCTTAAATATATCATATAAAATATATGTACTATATAAAAATATATGTATTATACTAAGAGACGCTCAACTTTGATCAGTTTACATTCGTATGGCCCCATATCAACTAATCGTAACTGTTAAAAATACGTATAAGTCGGAGGAGCTGCATTGTGTATCATGCGTCTCCGCACGTATTATACAAATCCGGAATTTTATCCGACGAAGAAATTAACGTTTAGTTAGTCAGTCGATAGATTAATATATTATATGTTCGCGAGAATTTAAAATAAACGAGACGGTTAAGCCAACTTGTTATGGCAAATTTCTTATAACTCGCGGTCTATTTCTTATAGCCGCGAGCCGTGACTCATCGAGGCGTGTATACGCCTGGGTTACGAGTGCGAGAGAGACGCGTTGTATTTAGACAAAGAGCGCGTATCGGTACTTCGAACCGCGAACGGTTTCGAAGAATCATTGTCGTGTGAGAAGGTATCGTATGCGTACCGTCGTCTGCGAAGGCTCTCGCTAGACGAAATTAATCCGTTTTATGACGTAGAGTTATTCCGTCTCCTATCCGGATTTAATTCAGCTGTTCGCTGCGTATTATTAAAATCCTAATTTCCAGTGCAATATATCGGTAAAGATATATTGCACCGAGAGGATTTCTCTCTTCCCCTCGATTCTAAATAATCGAGAGATACTCGAAGGCGTTTCCTTCGAGTTTTGTAAATAGCGAGTCTCGCTGGTAGAGCAGTGCATTTCGATCGGGACCGTTTAAAGTCGGAAGCCCTTTGCCTGTGTGGTGATCGGAATTGCAGCTTGTCACGGCGTCGTGGTCACATACCCGCTCTGCAACGTTCAGTTGTAACCGGTGTTACGCCTGGTGCTGACCGGTGCATCCTCCTGCGTTACGGCATACCGGTATCGGCCCGGGACCCCGGTCGCAGTTGTAGGCCCACCGAGGTTTTCCTTAGGGAATTTAAAACAGTACCAGAGAGGCGCGACGTGTTCGTCACCGAGCTCCCTGCGAATTGTATTTCGCAGTGCACCAGCGTGAGCTGTTAAGGAAACAGTTCGGAGTGCTTACAACACTCCGACTTTTCTAAGACAGCGCTGTTACAAATTATTTGCGGCACGAGAGGAAGAGTTGTACTCTGATCGTGCCGCCGCAATTATACGGCAGTCCACGCCACTTGAATCATATTCGTTTCCCTCTAGTTTCAGAAATTAATAAGGAAGAGACAGGGTGAAGTGCACCGGGGACAGGAGTTTATATTCTGATCCGTCTCGATTTTGTATTGAATACTCCTTAGTTTAATTGAATAAACGGTATTTGGGTTTAAGGGAAATCGACGGCGTGCATTTTATTTTACAAACCCGATTCTCTATTCCCGGCAGTTTAGTTTAGGGCACCATCCCTAACAGTAACAAAAACGTAAAAACTTCGTCAAAAAGAATAT